TTGTTTCATGTTTTGAGTGCAGCCAGCTTCCCTGTTCATGGTCCCCATATTGAGCTGCGGCTTCTGTGTATAGGTGATGTTGTTTCATGTTTTGAGCGCAGCCAGCTACCCTGTTCATGGTCCCCATATTGAGCTGAGGTGTCTGTGTATAGGTGATGTTGTTTCATGTTTTGAGTGCAGCCAGCTACCCTGTTCATGGTCCCCATATTGAGCTGCGGTGTCTGTGTATAGGTGATGTTGTTTCATGTTCTGAGTGCAGCCAGCTTCCCTGTTCATGGTCCCCATACTGAGCTGCGGCTTCTGTGTATAGGTGATGTTGTTTCATGTTTTGAGTGCAGCCAGCTACCCTGTTCATGGTCCCCATATTGAGCTGCGGTGTCTGTGTATAGGTGATGTTGTTTCATGTTCTGAGTGCAGCCAGCTTCCTGTTCATGGTCCCCATACTGAGCTGCGGCTTCTGTGTATAGGTGATGTTGTTTCATGTTTTGAGTGCAGCCAGCTACCCTGTTCATGGTCCCCATATTGAGCTGTGGTGTCTGTGTATAGGTGATGTTGTTTCTTGTTCTGAGTGCAGCCAGCTTCCCTGTTCATGGTCCCCATATTGAGCTGAGGTGTCTGTGTATAGGTGATGTTGTTTCATGTTTTGAGTGCAGCCAGCTACCCTGTTCATGGTCCCCATATTGAGCTGAGGTGTCTGTGTATAGGTGATGTTGTTTCTTGTTCTGAGTGCAGCCAGCTTCAATGTCCATGGTCCCCATATTGAGCTGCGGTGTCTGTGTATAGGTGATGTTGTTTCATGTTTTGAGTGCAGCCAGCTTCAATGTCCATGGTTCCCATATTGAGCTGCGGTGTCTGTGTATAGGTGATGTTGTTTCATGTGAAGCAGCAAGAGAATTCCAGTCATAACATTCTGAGGGCAATTCCACCAATTAAGCTCTTTCATCAGGTTCAACAGCAGTCCTACAGAGCTGGAGAAGAAGTAGCTGAAATATTCTCATGTTTGTTAGATACTGGCATTAAGATGACCTCTCTTGTAAAGTAATATCTGCAGCTCAGATAAAAACATCTGCCCTATTGGTGAGATGCAAGTGCAGGCCGCTTTTGAAGATGTAACTGTTATAATAAGCCAGACGTCCAGGGTCAATTACCTCAAAGTGATCCTGCAGCTATGGCAAGCCTATGTTAAAGTATGGGAGTTTACATCACATTAGCTCTTAAGACCTCTCTTTGGAAAGGGATCTAATGTGTGATAAGAAAATTCTGTAAAGAAATAAAGTTCAACAGGGTTCAGTTCTTATTGGGTTACTTATCAAAAGTCAGTCTCTCAGTGCTCTTCTCTCTCCTTACAGCCAGTTCTACCTTATATTCAGACCTCCTGCTGAAACTGTCTAGGGCTGTCCATTCTTTCTGCAGCAGTCAGATGTAATTATCTTTCCTTCCATCTTCAGGTCTCAAAAGCTTTCTTTCCTGATGTTTCTCCCCTTACATATTTTCCAAAACCCTTGATAGCTGATTTTTCTGTGCATTAGGTTCCTAGGTTATAGTGCAGACTGGAATCATTAAATGCACAATGTCACACATTTTCGACAACATTGTGGCCTATATTTTATATATTGGGGGCATATGAACTCACTTTAGTTTCCTATTGATGCAATAAATGACTTATTATCCCTTAAGACTTGCCTGAAATCGATAATCAAACCTTCGAGGCGAACAGCTTCCAAACAGATAACACTTGCCATATATGGAATGTGAACAATTGCTCTGTACATCGAAAGCTGACACATGGTGTTGTCAGTGTTTGCCAAACTGGTTTCAATGATAAGTTGCATTATAGGATATTCGTAGAGAGCGGTCCAAGGGATATAACACTGTGGGGATTGCTTGAAATAATGTTCGGTTGGTTGATGGCACAAAAGTTGATTTAATGCAATGTTGCAATAATTCATTCTAACATTTTAATTTAATATTGTAATCTGAATACATAATTTTATGGGAATAAAGTATATGGTAGCTTTCCTGAAGGTTGATATTTAGTATTATTTAGAGAAATGCATTATGTATTTTTAGTGTGGTGTGACATTGTGCCTTTAAGGGGGGAAGATTCAAAATCCAAACTTGCATCATACCAGAAGACTGATTTGCAAAGGCTGTCTTCTTTCTGTAAGATAAATGGTCTGGGGTAATACATGGTCCACTGGAGTCTTATTTTAGCCTGTTAGGCATATGCAGTGTGCTTGGACAATGGTGAACATTGGCATTCATGGATTCAGTCATTACAGTCTTCAAGCATACAGTTTTCTGGATTATTTGAACGAAGGCAAGGGTCTGACCAGCTTGCTCTCCAGACACAGTAGCTGTTCCCTGCAATATACAAGGCTTTGAGAGTAGTCCAAATTGTGAGCTTCTGGTCACAGTTGGATGTTTTCTTATTGACCTCACTGCCTGTGTCTGATAGCCCCACAATTAAACACCCCTAACCCAGTGGTGTCCACATCTTCAAGGGAACCCATGGTTAGAGGTCACACAGATCTGACTTGAGTAAACAAAGGGTGAATCATGTTATGTGGCAGTGTTACAGTTACAGTTAAGCTTCAGTAAAGGGCAGTGGTGTGCTGGTTTCTATATTGAGACAGGGAGACAAGACTGTTGTGGAAATTTCTGGGCCTGTTCCGAAATATTCTAATGCTATCTGACCCACAGACTTACAAAAAGTTCCAGAACCTTTGTATGTAAATAAAGGGAGGCTTACAGTTGCCTTGGTCATCTTCCTCTCACATTACAAGAAGACCAGCAGTTGTGTAATGTTCACTTTTCACCCTGAATGCTCAGCCTTGGGCTCAGTGTGGATCACTGGCTACAACTGCACCAAGGTGAATACTATCATTACTGTCTTTGTTGCTATTTTATATGAAAATCGACACTTAAAGCAGATCAGATTCCCTTTGGTTTTTGTGCATTGAATGCAGCATGAAGATGATGAGTGAGAGGGAGATGCCAATCTTTCCAAACTAACAACCATATCTGTTGCAGATGTGTAGAACTGAGGTTTTCCCACCTTACACATGCACAGGTGAACAGGGCAATGAAGACTATGGATAGCTGACATTGAAGAGGCTGAAGATTCTCGTGATCTCAAGGGGAGACATCAGCTGAGTCAGTCAGTCAGTCAGCAATTGTGATGTCAGGAACAATGGTGACACCATATCAAATTGGTCAGATAATTGGTCCTGTACAGACAACAAATATCACAGCAGATACATATGCATATCATATCCAGTGTAGGGCAGATCACTAGGTGTTCTCAGATTGAGTTGAAGGTGAGATCATAATTGTGTATACAGTTCCAAATGTGGGTGAGATCACTAGGTGTTCTCAAATTCTGATGAATGTGAGATCATAATTGTGTATACAGTTCCCAATGTAGGGAGATCACTAGGTATTCTCAGGTTCTGATGAAGGTGAGATCATAATTGTGTATACAGTTCCAAATGTGGGTGAGATCACTAGGTGCTCTCAGATTCTCATGAAGGTGAGATCATAATTGTGTATACAGTTCCCAATGTGGGTGAGATCACTAGGTATTCTCAGGTTCTGATGAAGGTGAGATCATAATTGTGTATACAGCTCCCAATGTTGGGAGATCACTAGGTATTCTCAGATTGAGATGAAGGTGAGATCATAATTGTGTATACAGCTCCCAATGAGGGTGAGATCACTTCGTGTTCTCAGATTCTGATGAAGGTTAGATTATAATTGTGTATACAGTTCCCAATGTAGGGGAGATCACTAGGTGTTCTCAGATTCTGATGAAGGTGAGATCATTATTGTGTATACAGTTCCCAATGTAGGGGAGATCACTAGGTGTTCGCAGATTGAGATGAAGGTGAAATCATAATTGTGTATACAGTTTCCAATGTAGGGGAGATCACTATAGTTTGGCATGAAATGCATGTGGACCCGGTGTTACAGGTCATTGGGTCCCTCCCTCTGCAAGCCGTCTGCGTTCTGCTGTTTATTTTGTTGACAGTTACATAGAGATCACTAGGTGTTCTCAGATTGAGATGAAGGTGAGATCATAATTGTGTATACAGTTCCAAATGTTGGTGAGATCACTAGGTGTTCTCAGATTGTGAGGTGAGGTGAGGTGAAATTGGGTTTACCATCGTGCTTGAGAATATTTCGGTCATATGACGACGTCCATGCATGTGTATGTGTATGTGTGGCTGCTTGTACTAGCCCAGACTGAAGCTGGTTTTATAGTGCTAGCCCACTGAGATACCATGCCTCAGTGAAGCATGAATACCCCACTCAGACACATTATACTGACTTGTTGTACCCATTAATGCCGAGCACCAGGCAGGGACCAACAAGTACCATATTTTAACGTCTTTTGGTATGACGCAGTCGGGGATTGAACCCGCGACCTTTCGCTCTCTGTGCAGATCTCAGATTGTGATGAAGGTGAGATCATAATTGTGTATACAGTTCCCAATGTGGTGAGATCATATTGGTGAACACAGTTTCTGATGCATGCCAGACCATGTCATTCTTTTCATATCCAAATAATGAAAACATTCTATTCATATGTATTTGTAGCACTATATTTGGTATACTTTTTTGAGTGCAGGGTGCCATTTATAATCAGCTTTCATTAAGACCTAAAAAGATGTATGTAAAACTCTCTAACATTTAACACTCAAACCCCAACCCCAACCCCCAACAACAACCCAAAAAAAAAAAAGAAGAAACATACTAAAAACTCCCCAATAGCAAAATGCATCTTATCTCAAGTTCTAAGAATGAAGGCAGTAAGTGGACAGATGGAAGACAGCTACAAGGTAGCATGACATAGTCACATCATGTTGTAATTGATGTCACCAATAAGCTTGGACATGAATGAATTCAGTAAATTTCTTGTAATATTAGTATGCAGGTAAATGATTGCACTGACCACCAATTAAATGTGAACAGCCACCTGAGAAGAATGTGACAATTACCTGGAGGGGCACTGTGGCTCTTGAAGTGTGTAGGTGAGCAAGGGTAAGAAGGTCCACAACAACCTTGATGCCATTGGAATCCATTATTTCTTTCACATTTTTCTGGAAGTAAAAAGTATGACAACAAGTGTTTGCCACTGATATGGCAATGTCCCCCGCCGCTAAAGAATGGAATATCTATATTTACTACGTTTTATTTTTGGGTCACATACAAGATGCCTGAAATGACTGGTGTCTGCATAATCACCCAATGTAGGCTGTCGACATACTTGAAAACATTGGGTGCAATGTTTTATGAGATATTGCCTTTAAAAAGCGGTCAAAGTATCGTGGTGACCTTGAAGATAAGGTCATGGTCACCCAAATAAACTGGTGTCTGTGTAATACCCCAATGTAAACTGTCACCAAATTTGAAGACATTGGGTACAACAGTCCATGAAATATCGCGTTAACAAGAGTTAAAAGTGGTCAAAGTGTTGTGGTGACCTTGAAAATAAGGTCAAGGTCACCCAAATCGACTGGTGTCTGGGTAATCTCCCAATGTAGGCTGTCACTAAATTTGAAGACATTGGGTACACCAGTTCATGAGATATCGCGTTAACAAGAATCGGGACGTACATACAGACGTACGTACGGACGCTGCTGAATACATAGTCCCCCGCTCCGCGTTGCGGCGGGGGACAAAAAGATAGATGATTAGGAAACGAAGAACTTGTGACGCTTGCTTTGAATTACAAAAAAGACTTTGATAACATAACATTTCTGACAGGAAGTCTTCAGATACAAACACTTGTTGAGACCCACTACTAACTAAACATATCAAATTTGTTTATATTCGAGTACCAAACCTCCAGGTTGTTAGGCAAATAAATTCCATACAATGCAACCATTATTACTCCTTTTTGTCATCCATGTTTGGTGGGATAAATCAACAACCGGTTATTTGTTATCATTCGTTTAATACTCAATGAATTCATAAAATCAGAATTTGTGGTAACATTACTGAGAGTAACTGATAAAGGTTCCCACTCTTGTGTCTAATGTAACTACTCAACCTTATAAACTCAGATCTGACTAGGTATGTGTGTTGCATGTCATGTAATATGCATATAGTAACAGCAATACAGGAATAATCAGTCGAATTGAATAAAAACAGCGATCAAAGGATTAACCAATATGTTCATTGATTAAACACTGTTATACTGCACAGTGGATTTACCAACAGAATACTACAGTATCCTTTCATAAGGAAAAGTCTCATGCTAAAGATTGTGCAGTGTGGAAAAGTAAATCTTTATGACTGATCTAATCACAGATCATGATTCACAGACGAAAAGTGTCTCCGCTTCTGTGGTAAAGGTATGACACACTTAGTAATATCAAAACCACAAATAGATGTTAGTCTGACAATATGGACTAGAACAAGCTCATGTTATGAGACAACCATAAACATCTTCACTATACTGGAGCTTTCCTCTAGCAGAGAAAGTTGAGACCTGATGCTCACCTGATGCAGAATGAGTTTGTTCAAAAATAGAATCAAACGGTCTCTTTCCAAACGATCTGTGCACTGAAAAAAGAGTAGAAAATATCCGTTAGTTTAGAATTGTGGCTACTGTTACCTGAGGGTGTCCGGGTGTTATACCCTTCTCCCTAGGCAATCTGTCTATCCACTCAAGATAAGTCCAGTTTGGTGTTCAAGTCCTGTTTATTGTTGGCAAGAATTCTCACACAAAGGTCCTCTGAAATTGCCTAGTTTTCCTGGTCTACACACAACACTGATTCACGAATTTCAATGGAAGAACTTGTTGATTCCTTGTACAACTTCTAATGCTATAAGTTCATCTGAGCTATTCTCTCAATATACAAAGAGAACCTCTCAAGTCAACAGTGGGGCCCAGAATTGTGCTCTACTTTTCCAGCCAAGTGACAAAATACAATTCCTGTCAATTTTGGCTCCTCCCCCCCAAAATAATGTCCTACGTCATACAAAAATGACTCATATCCCATCTGAATAGTTAGTTACTTTCATTACCATATTTCCCAGACCTTTATGGTACCATCAAATACTCCCAGTATAAGATGACTTCAATTAGTTAGCTTTAAGCCATTTACCAACCAAACATTTACATATCCAGCTAATATTTCAGACTGGTAGGTGCCAGAAGATACTAAATCAAATCATTCAGATCCTCCGTGTGCCCCTTTATCAACAAACTGGCCATCTCGATTCAGAATGTCCCGAATGTTTATCCACCTAATTGTGTAGAGACACGAGATTTGATCTTTCCTCCTCCTTTATGACAATTTGTAGAAATTATTATTCTCCACGAAAAGTTACTTTCCAAGTACACTGACCCTTCCCAACTGACTTCATATTTTCCTTAAATCTTTATGAAATGTATATAATGTTTTTAACTCAAAATATCCTGGTTATACTACTTTGAGGATTCAAAACAAATAATTATATTCTCTGATATGATTTTGAAGAATATCAAAGCATCAGAGCACCATAGCACTTTGGCTCATTTATTATGCTCAATTTCATCATGACTTCTGTGTGCAACTTTTGGAAAAATCTGCTTACAAAATAGTTATGAATTATGGGTCTTGTGGTTTCAGAGGACTGGATAAGCAACAGACAATGTTTAAACTAAGTTTACTTGATATTCAGTCAAATGAGCTTAGTGATGAGCTTTTAATTGTTAGGAATGAGGAAAGTTACTAGAACACCGGTGGAAAGAAGGGAAGTCCCATTGTGCTGATAATGCACCAAAAATAAACAATAGAAACTAGGTAAATTCAAATTACAGGCCAAGAAAGCAAACTTACCCTTTCAAGCATTCCCACAATGTATCGGGTATCATTGAATGCACCAATCTCTTCATAACATCGACCATACACAATGGTCATAGCTTGTAAACACATACATTTCATGCTGGTTTTGGGTGTAAGCAAGAACCTGTGATACAAATCGTTGAAGAATTCGTACCTAAGCAAAGAAAAGAATCAAGGTTCAAATATACACAATGTAAACTTAGAAAACATACTTTTCTGTGTCATTTCATTATATATATGTATAAACATTTAAATATTTCTTTTAGTTGATAAATAAAAGTGTAATTGGTTATGGATTGATTATGGCAATCACCATGTTTCAGTTGCAGTGCTGTGTGCTCTTAACTTGCTGTTTGGTTTATTGCATTGTCAAACATTTGAAATTACTGCCTGCCCAACAGGCTGTCACCTACTACTTCAGTTTGCAGACCTCATGGACAAGGTCTTTTTCTGATGCTGGTTACAACATAAGAACACTGGGTAAAACTTATTTGCTATATTTTGTGACAAACCATTTTATTCACTTGTTCATTTATTTTTCAGTATGCTCAATAATTAGTGTCAATGATCCATAACATCATAATACATTTCACAAGGATCACACATTCTGCTAGACTAACAACTAGTCTCTGAAATGAACATATTTTACTGAAAAAAGTTCATAGTAAAAAAATATAAAATATAATGAAAAGGAGCCCTGAGACCTTCTTCATTTTCAGAAGCTGAGGAAATCTAGACTTGCCACATTTTCTAGACTTGTGTGGGCTTTCTTGGATATATTTGCTTCAGGGTCTGTACGAGAGACTAACATTCTGCTTGGGATTCAACTGCTAGGTACTTCAGCAGATAGCACAACTGATGTTAAACACACCAACAATTGCATCAATCACAATATATAGTACATAAACAATATACACAGAACCCCATGTTTATTCATCTGGAATTACCAAGATGTAGATTCACATGTACATTGGTGTAAAATCTTCACAAATTTCAAAATAAGGTAGAGTGGACCACTAAAACATGCAGATATATGGGCCAGGTGAGTAAAACTTATTTCTGTGTTCCTAGCATATATGAGTGATAATAGTTTCCTAATGTGTAGTGAGCAATGTTGGAAAAAAATGTTGAAAGTGAAAAGTAATGAAAACATCTTTTCCAGGCCTCCTTATAATATATGTACCATTTTGGTACAAATATCAATATTATCAAATGTTGTCTGAAATATACATACGACTTTTTGATTGCATTTGTTTCTTCACTTTCGTCTTCCTCTTCCTCGAGGAGAAGACGAAGGTAGTAGTCGCCTGGAAAACAGAAAGATTACAACAGATATTATAATCGTGACCATGGACACTTTTAACTACAGACTCGTGTCAGTTATATTTGGACACTTCTACGTTCCGTGCCATGATGCGTCGTATTGGTAATCTCTGAGGCACCCGTAAAAGCGTTCAAAGTGCCAGTAGAAATGACCAACTTCGCAATTGCCCCCCTTGACATAAGCTTTGTCACGTGATCCTGTGGAAGTGCCATCTGCTTGTTAACATTGACTACAACATCCACGTTTAAGCAATGGTGCGAAAAAGCGAGGAATTAGCAAGTGGCAAGAAAAAAAGAATTGTAAACTTAAATCAGAATGGATAAAGTGTTTGGAAAATTGGTGAATTATTAGACATACTCAGGTCTACTGTTCCATCTATTTTGAGGCAGTTTCAAACGACGGGCTCTGGATGACAGCGATAGTGCAGCTAATTTGCGGATCATGAACAAAAATCGTAGAAAGACTTTAAGGCATTACAAGTGAAATTAACACTGGTGAAGATGTGTCCACATGAACTGTACAACATATTTTGCATACAAATGGTTAGTTTAGATGCATTGCAAAGAAGAAAACAGTGGTGAAAGACATAAATCGAAAAATCCTGTAGAATTTAGTGTCGAAAAATGAGAAACAAAACTGTTGAGATCTTTTGGCGAACTGTTATTTTCTTAGGTGGCAATTGGTGAATATATAAAAATCTATTTGTGGAGAAAAGCAGACAAAAAGTATAGGCCAGAGTGCGTGGGTCCATCAATTGGATGTATGTTCAAAGTTATGATCTGGGCTTGCATTACATTTTACAGTGTAGGAATGCTTGTGGCTGTGGATGGTAACATTAAAGCTGCTAAATATGTCGACATTGTTGATTCCAACTTGTGGCCTATTGTAGCCAGGCATTCTCCTGGAAATGACTATATTTTCCATGATGATAATGCGCCGTTCACCGGGCTCATCTTACCAATACCTTTATGCAAGAAAAGGATATCATGTTGCTAGATTGGCTGGCACAATCACCTGATGTAAATATCATTGAGAATATTTGGCTGTAACTTCAGCGATCACTAGAAAATTGCAATTGGGATATCACCACCGTCGATGAACTTTTTTATGAACTTTGCTGTGCCTGGCAATCACTATCCGTAGAGTATGTTCAAAGTCTGTAGGAGAGCATTCCAGGGAGGATCTGAGAAGTACTTAATGTTAAAGGCCATTTGACAAAATATTAGAGGTAGGCATCAATTATTTTCCACGCAATTTCCCATAACATTTTTTGAGTCCAATGTAAACAAAGCTGCCATCTCGGAAAAGTGTCCGAACATAACTGGCACCAGTCTGTACATGGACACAGTATAAAGGAGTATATAAAGATACATCACTCATCACCTGTGAGAAATGAAACCCAAAAATAACATTGTCAGAACCCGTTTAGCAAATTTCTTTGGGGACCTCTAACATACAAGAATTGATCCATTCGAGTTTATCATCTGAAGGAGGAAGATGCACAACAGATTTCAATGTCATCAGTCAGACTCATATCCTGAATAGTCTATGACAAGAGACCGACACTCCTTTGAAGGACTAGAGCTCTCTTGCCATACCCATGGCTCAATAGCTGCAGCAATAAGTATTTGGGCTGACAGGGCACACTGAATACTTGTTATATAGGCCATAAAGCTGGCCTTGCCATCTGTGTATGGCTCAGGGCTGCTTCAACTTGTGTTATTGCATTCAGCATGTTTAGTGCCCCTCCCTAAGGGGCGCTCCGAATTAGAAATATGTAGCATGCAAATCCATACTGTGATCCAAACCTGAAAAACGTTATGAATCTAGGTCATTGAGACAAGCTTAAACCTTTAAGTGGAAATAAGTTATCTTTGCGACCTGTGGAAAAACCTGTTGATTGACTGTTTTGTTTGATTTTAAACTTTTTCTTATTTAGTCCAAAACGCTAAATGTGGATATGCCAAATTTCAAAACATATAAAACAAAAGGACAAAGCCATAGATATCCCTGCAATGGTAAATACTTGTTGCAAATGTGAAACCTGTTGCCAAGGAAACTTCAAAAATATTTGTATCAAAATTGCAAACTATCTAAACCTACCATTTCACCTACATGCCAATTTAGGTGACAAAATATTGTATGGTTTTCACTAATGCTATTCCTAGTCAAGGTCAAACTTATTGCTGTGGAAACGAAACATTCTTAAAATATTAAATGGCATGAATTCACCACTAGACCTATAGTATGACCAGAAATTATTGAGAATTTCAGGAATATGTTAATTGGATTTCTAGTATAAACAACCATGACCAGCTATCAAGTGCTTGGTTTCATTCAAGAGAGACAACTCCGTGAATCCTTTTTCATTAGTTTGTGAAGAGTTATCTCCTTTTGTTTACTTGCTAGCAGACGACATTTTCAGTGATCCTCAGTATGGATGAGTTAGAGAAGAGGAAGTTGATTTTAGGACATCAGATCAGCTAAAGTGATTTCAAGTAGAACAGGCATCCCTTTGTCCACTGTTTATGTTTTGAAAAATATTGCAAATGGATATGGCATTGGGCACCAGGGAGGCGCAGGTAGGCCCAGAAAATTGACTGTCGGTGACAGGAGGCGGCTTGGTATTCTTGTTTCTAAAAACAAACGAAGGAGTTTAGAAAACTTAAGGCTGGATATGATTGATAGAGGAACAGTGGCTGTCTGTAAGGAGACAAATAGAACTGAGTTGCATGCAATGGGTTGGCAGAAAAGTCGAGGAATTCCATCACCGATCATGAAACCTGAACAAAAGGAGCGAAGGTTGAACTGGTGCTTCATCATAGAAATTTTAACTGGGACAATGTGATTTTCTCAGATGAAAGTTCTGTGTGGCTGTTTCCTAATACACTGAAATTCTGGACCAAACAAACTGAAAAACCTTTGCATCAGCGCCCACAGTACAGTCCGAAATTTAACATGTGGGGTGGCATATCTGTGTTAGGGGCAACGCCCCTCTGTGTATTTGAAGGGAATATGAACAGTGAGCGGTACACAGATATTCTCGAGGGACATTTACTTCCATCTGCTCACGTGTTCTATGGAAATGTTTGGATTTTCCAGCAGGACAACGACCCAAAACATCGTTCAAAGCATTCACAGGCCTGGTTTCGGACCCAAAATATGACATTATTAGATTGGCCAAGCTATAGCCCTGACCTAAATCCAATAGAAAATGTTTGGGGACTTATGAAGGAAAGTGTCAATAAGAAAAATCTGACAAATATTGGACCACGACTTTCTACCTTCTTTGATTAGTAGTATGCCCCGCCGCACTGAAGCCTGCATTGCTGCCCATGGTGACTTGACAAAATACTAACTGTTCACCTGTCTTTGAATCTGGAGTTATGTTCTGCTAATATTCACATTTAATACGTGAGTAATGAGTGATAAAATATTTAAAAATTTACAATCATTAAATTCTCAATAATTTCTGGTTGTACTGTATCTATGTGTCAAGGTTGGTGAAGAAAAAGAGCACTCTCAGATACAGGCAATTCTGTCATTTTTAGCCAAAGCTGTTTCCATAGAAACAATGACCAGTACTTATCATTGCATATGATTCCAAGAATACTCTTTCACATCACTCTAATCACAAAACACTAAAATTAATACTTTCAACAGAAGTCCAGTTTGCTGTCAAATAAATACAACTAGTTATTACTGCAGTAGCATTTTCAGCCTATTTTGTACCAAGTACAAAGGTGGAAAACCTCACTTCATATCTGTGTGTGCTAGAATGAACAATGAACTGAGGAACAACTTGGTGTATATGTATATCGTGTGAGGAACAACTTGGTGTATATGGTGAGAGGAACATATTGGTGTATATAGTGTGAGGAACGTATTGGTGTATATGGTGTGAGGAACATATTGGTGTATATGGTGGTGGTGCATGGTCCTGTGCTCAAAGCTCAGGACACAAATCGGTGAAGTTAAGCAGCGTCGAGCTCGAAGAGTCCTTGGATGGGTGACCGTGTTTGGCAGCTTGACTCCTGAGAGTTTCTAGGACTTGAGTCCTGCCCCACAACGAAGCACATGTGACACATGTGGTCTCACCTTAGGCAAGTGAGTTTGTTCAAAATTGTCTCTGTTCACCCAGCAGGAAAATGGGTACCCGGTGGAAAAAAGTCATATGACTATAACCTTCTAGCGCCTAACAGGCAGCTTGGGTTATCCGGGGTAATAATGTGCTGTGCCTTGATTGTTAGCGCTATGAGCATACCTAGTGTGGAGTTTGGCGCTATATAAATGGACACATTATTATTATGGTGTGAGGAACAAATTGATGTATATGGTGTGAGGAACAACTTGGTGTATATGGTGTGAGGAACAACTTGGTGTATATGGTGTGAGGAACAACTTGGTGTTTATGGTGTGAGGAACAACTTGGTGTAAATGGTGTGAGGAACAACTTGGTGTATATGGTGTGAGGAACAACTTGGTGTACATGGTGTGAGGAACAAATTGGTGTACATGGTGTGAGGAACAACTTGGTGTTTATGGTGTGAGGAACAACTTGGTGTACATGGTGTGAGGAACAAATTGGTGTATATGGTGTGAGGAACAACTTGGTGTATATGGTGTGAGGAACAACTTGGTGTACATGGTGTGAGGAACAACTTGGTGTTTATGGTGTGAGGAACAACTTGGTGTACATGGTGTGAGGAACAACTTGGTGTACATGGTGTGAGGAACAACTTGCTGTTTATGGTGTGAGGAACAACTTGGTGTACATGGTGTGAGGAACAACTTGGTGTTTATGGTGTGAGGAACAACTTGGTATAAATGGTGTGAGGAACAACTTGGTGTATATGGTGTGAGGAACAACTTGGTGTTTATGGTGTGAGGAACAACTTGGTGTATATGGTGTGAGGAACAACTTGGTGTATATGTATATCGTGTGAGGAACAAATTGGTGTATATGGTGAGAGGAACATATTGGTGTATATAGTGTGAGGAACGTATTGGTGTATATGGTGTGAGGAACATATTGGTGTATATGGTGTGAGGAACAGCAACACTTGTGGAAATTCATGCCATTAGCAGAATTGTGCTGTTTTACACAGCAATAAGCACTAAATTTACATCACACACACTTTCTTGTTGCTGAGATTTTGTTCAATATTATTAGTTTCACGGTGTTTTGGAAGGGTGTACAGGACTGTAAGACCCTTGTAAATTCTGAATATTTCCTGAGGCTCTGGACGGAATTTACAAGGGTAATACAGTCCCATGCACCTTTCAAAACACCGCGTGAAAAATGTATTACCCTTAAGATCTATATATTTAGTATCTTTAAAAAACAACATTTGATCTTCGACAGAATGAGACACAAATTGTTTTGCCTTGATTATTCCTGAACGGTCATAAAGGTAGATAGTTTGTGATGGCTTAGTTTATGATAAAAATGATTGAATTTGAGGGTTTTTTAAATGACAAGTGAAATACAGAAACATTTTATTTTTTTATATTTTTATTGACACAAACAAATAAGAAATGATGGCAACAATTTTATTACTCTGTTTATACTCATAATTGGATATGCCAACTCTAAAATTTCAAAGCGATCAGCTTGTTGGCAGCCACATTCAGAGTCAAGATCATTTGTACAACCAGTGTAATGTAATAATAATAATAGTCCATTTATCAATCGATCGAAGAGCCCAAACAATCTGATTATTATTACCCTGGATAACCCAAGCAGCCTGTTAGGTGCTAGAGGGTTATTGTCACATGACTTTATCCCACTTGGTATCCATTTTCTGCTGGGTGAATAGAGGCAATTTTGAACAAACTCACTTGACTAAGGTGAGACCACATGTATCACATGTGCTTTGTTGTGGGTCAGGACAGAAGTCTTAGAAACTCTAAGGAGTCAAGCTGCCAAACATCCAAGGACTCTCCGTGACCAACGCTGCTCAACTTTACCTGACTTGTGACTTGAGCTCTACGCACAGGACCACATACAGATTTGACGAGGTGTACGGTTTATACACAATGGCAAATTCGCCTACATGGTGTCGTATGCTTTGGCTATTGACCAATCAGAATTCTAAAAATTTAACTTAAGGGTAATATGATATGTTAACAAAATGGAAAAGAATTACCTATTTTGATTTCCTCAGATAGACAATGGTAAGGCACCTCAAACTCTGCATGGTTCCAACCCACTATACAGTTGGCTCCAAGCTCCTTGTCCACATTGAAGGCTCTCATTTCATTCTCCAAGGACTCTCTCAATTCTTCCCTCGTCTGTTAATGAAATTATGCATTAACATCTCACGACCTATGTGAATCAAACGGCATAATCACAACCACATGTTTATATCAATGATGACATTTATACTAATGCTATCAACAGCCTAGATTTTTTACCTTGTAATTCCACAGGAGATTTGGTTTTGCATGGTCTCTGTTGAAATGGTAGTAAAACAACGTCCAGTTGGCCTCACTTTTGATGCGCTGACGACGGTTGCGTAAAACTATGGGTCGATCATTTTGCTGGTTAAGGAAAGATTACACTCAAATATCAATATCAATAGAACATACACTGAATATGCATTTTAATGTCATGTTTAAAATAATGTAATGAAAACATAATTTAAAATATTCAGGAAAGGAAATACATTATGGTCTGTCAGCCCAAACAGTGACTACACATAGCTATACCCACAAAATGTTTCAAAATTCTACTCAGCCTTAAGCTAGATTAGACATTAACAAACAGGTACTGGGCATGGCTTATGGGCTAGTTTAATTTCAGTCAATGAATATGTATGCTGTTACCCATCTATTCACAGTTGGTTTTGTTCAACAGATGTACAAATTTGTGGATAAAAATATTGAATGGAAATTCATGTATAAATGGAAAATTTAGTAAGCCTCACCAAGAAGCACCCTGAGAGAGCATACAATGAAGATGTGTTGAGGTATTACAATGGTTCATGACACCACCAGTGTCAATTTCCCCAGACTAATCCTAATGGAAGAATAGCAAATAGTGCTGTGATTTCACAAACTGGCAGATGTAGGTAGCGTATTGATTGCACCTGTACAGGGGAGTGTAGCAAGGCAGAAATTGCTTCAAGTAATGATGGTTGACACATGTCATCGTATCCCATCAGCATAGATCGATGCTCATACTGTTGATCACTGGACTGTCTGGTCAAGATTCAATTATTTACAGACTGCTGCCATATAGCTGGAATATTGCTATACAGCTTTAAACAACAATCCAACAACCGTAGAAATGAAGAAACAAATTTTATACATTACAAAAACTACCAATGATTAAGGACTTCAGAAAATTTCTTTTAGATTTTAACAGAACACACAGGAAAGAAGTGCGGGCAAGCTGTGAGAACTCAAAGGTATTTGTATGGAAGCATATACAACCATGTAAAGAGGAAATATCTCATGTAGATTAGCCTGTCCAAATTCCAAACTAATAATATTGAGCATCTTAAGAAAGGAAAAATGAGTCAAAGGTGAACAAAAATTAGGAAAGTTTGGCTTTTAACATCAGGAACGGATGATGTAAAGAATTATACAATAGCACAATTACATAGTTTTTATTATATTAGTGATTTTACCTGCTTTGTTTCAAGTCCAATCCGAGACCTCCAGTGCTGAAGAAATCCATCAATTCTTTTCTCTAAGAATTGAAGCTGTGGGTTCTTTTTATTCTTGTTTTGATGGTCCTAAAATGGAAAACTCAATATCAAAGTCTTTTCTTGATGGTGGTGGCTTAGCCTGGTAATTAAAGCGTTTACTAGTCACACCAAAGACCCGGGTTCGATTCCGCACATGGGTACAATGTGTGAAGTCCATTACTGGTGCCCCCCTTCACGATATTACTGCTTGAATATTGCTATATGCGGCGTAAAGCTAAACTCACTTTTCTTTGGGGGGGAAACAGGCAGACAGGGCAAGGAGAGGGGGGGTTTGCAGGGGAAACAAGTGGGGTGTAGTAGAAGAGCAAATGAGCATCTAACGTTGACATAATTTTTGCAGAGCTTCATTTATGAGAAAACCCCAAAACATATTCCCACAGGTACACTGGTTCTACTATTAACTGAATGACTAGAGAAACTTTAAATTATATATACTTCTTGTGACAGATAATTTCATGTTTTTCAAACAGTCTGATACATTTTCAACATTGATGTGATGTCAGTAAAATTCCTGTATATGTAATATGTATGATCTAGAGTGCACAAACTCAGGTTCTTGTTATAATTTCTTTATTCTTGTGAGTTTCTTTCTTTATTATTGTATTCTTTATTCATTCTTAATCTTGCATCTTTACAGTTCAGTTTCATTTTAGTTTCACTTTGTTTCAGATTCAGATTGACTGAAAAAACATAACAAAATTCTTAATTACTAACATGTGCAATAATATATAGTAACTTATAGTATATCATATAAAAAAACATTTTCATCCAGTCACATGTGAGAACATAGCTTGAAACAGCATTAGACAATAATGAATGATAATGCCTACAACTGCCTTATGCAATTAGGAAAAAGAAGATAATTGCCTTATACAATGATATAATGAAATTACCTTATGTAATGAAATATTGTAAATAAAATATCAATGGCCTTATGCCAAATCTATTTGAAAAGATGTCTTAAACTTATAAACAAAGAAAAGCCCAAAATAAAATTTATTTCTTAGAAAATAAATTGATGCAAATATTTAGGGCATTTACGGTAGTTCTTAAAAAAGGCAAAACAAAGTTTCCTTTACTGAAAATATTCACACCAAATATAAATAGCACTACCATGAATGAATAACTTTAAATAAACCAAGCAGTTGAAATTACACAAGCATAATTTGTAAGTTTGAGGCAATTGCCTATAAATTGAAAATAGCATAAACAATGCTAACACATGTCCAGTTCTAATATACAAAATGTAAGCTAGAATGAATGAAGTTTACTTCTAACTTTCCCTACTTTTATGAAACATTACTTTAACAAAGAAAACACATTACATTGATGATAAAATAGTTTCCGTTTGTTTGCGGTGGCATTTTCAACATGTCTCATAGAAACTTGTCATGCTAGTGACCATGAGCGCTGCCAGATTTGAACGAAAAGTCCATGCTCAAGGCAGGTTACTCCAAACTCAAAGGTTAAATGCATACCGCTAAAGAAAAAAGCACTAACACAGCTGTTAATGTAAAAGTAATGTGATTTTGGCCGTTACATAATACAACATAGGTCCTGTTAAATAATTGTAAAATATCATACAAGTTATTTTCAATGTATCTTTGGCAGTTGGAGGAAATAAATACAGATCTGTCTGTCCATCCATCAAGTTATCATGTACCCAAGATGTTTTAATGCCTCATTCACATCAAGTGACCTTGACCTTCAATACCTTCTAATTATTGTAGACCATTACTTTTCCTTTAAATCACAGTTAAGAAGTGTTCCACCTGCCAGTATTGTTATTGTCTGCCTCTATATAATTAAGTTTGGTACCAGTGACATATGAGCAATGTCACATTGATGATAGATAAGCAGTTAACCAACTGAATGAGTCTGACTGCCTGTACCATTCTGTCACCTTGTATGACAAGATACTAGGGCTCGTGTCCGGAATCCCCACTAGGGCCAGTTGCTGGGTCTCATCATGCTGGAGATTTGTTTCATGTTGCTAAGAGTGTACAATGATTGGAACTGGGTATTCTCACACTACTGCTGCAAGAATAGAGCAAATGGGAACACAACTACACCCCCCACAACGAAAATAATCACACTGGTTGATAACCATTCTAATGTGACTGAATGGAAGGGAACTATCTAGGCAAAGAGTTCTTACCAAGGCTAGCTTGACATTATCTCGTACATGAAGCTTGTCTTCTTCATTCACAGGAATATCATCAGCAGAATCAAGGAAAGCGAGCAATCCACTGGGCTGAAATAGGATGTTGACTTAAAACAGTCTAAATGTGATGATGTCATGGAAAGTATGCTTCTTGAAACAAACAATTTCTTGCCTTTTATTGAGTTACAATACCAAGTTTATGATGGTAAAATATTCTCCTACATAACCAGTGTCACATGACATAATATACCAAATATTAATTCATTTCTTCACTCTGATCTTTCATTTTCTCCATTCATGTCTGCTGTCACAGACTGATTACGGTCAGCCATTTACTATGTAGCAATGACATGTATACTATGTAGTCATGACATGTATATGTCTCCAACACCTAACACCAGGTTGCTGATTCTTTGAAGCGAGTCCTCCTTGGAGTACTTTAAGCATTTTTATGTCCATCAAAAATTCCTACGACAGTTGTAACTATATTTTGAATAAAATATTTACAAAACAAAAAAACTGTTTTTGTCCTGGCCCTGTGAGTTCCCTAAGGAGGAGTCTCTTCAAAGAATCAGCAACCTCAACAGGTACGATTCTTTTTCATAAGAGATCCTCCTTGGGTTACTTATAAGCATAAGGCAAGACTCCCATAGATTTCAGTCGGGAGAGGCATTCTGTCAGGCCAAACGAACCCCAATTCGGGGTAAATTCCCCAATCTAAAAATAGATTAAGATTGATCGCACTTTCCCAGTCACGTGACCTTTCAATGCTGATAGGCAAGGAGTTGAACAAGGTGCTCAGCTAATGAGCATATATAGCAAATATTGTCATCAACCCCCCACCCCTTCTTCCCTGCTTACGTTTTTTGGAAGAGGGCCGTATAAGATCCCATAAAACTACTAGCCAGCAAGATGGGCTTTTGGATATTGAACGAGTGAGAGAGAGTGGGGGGGAGATAAACCCTTGTGTATATAACCCATACAAATTGCAGAGACAAGCCACTGAGGGATGGTCTGCTTTCTCGCTGGAAGACCAGCCTACCTACCGCCGTAACGGCTGAACAACTGATTATCCTTACAGATATCTTATCTTTGTTTGATATGGACTTTGAGTGTCTCACAGACATCCAAGACATGTGCACGTTTGTAGTGGTCCCCGACAAGGGAGGCTGAGATAGAGCAGGGAGCTCAATAGGAGCCGTCACATGGAAGGCACTATTTACCTTAGAGCAGTACAAGTCTGGCAGTCTAATACTGACTCTGTCTTTATGAAATACTGTCAGTTCGGGATCGATAGACATCGTATGAATGTCGCCGACCCGCCTGCCAGATGTAACAACCACAAGAAATGCTGTCTTCAAACTCAACAATTGCAGTGAAATGGATGACAGATTGTGAAATAAATGACCGGATAGCCAATCAAGAGCTATTGATAAGTCCTATGTAATGTTGATCTGTCGGATAGTCGGTTTGATCCTGTCCACACCTGCTAAACACATGGTACGAGAGGGTGTTGTCCTAGCAGAGCACCATTGACAGGTATATGGAATGCTGGGATAGCAATGGTGTAATCTTGGACTGTTGAAGTGGCGAGGCCGGCTTCCTGTCGTGATTGAAGAAACTCCAATACTACATCCACAGAAAAGGGATCAAGAATCCCCTGCCAACACACCACAGAGGTGCGATTAGCACCCTGGGGATCAGCGGTATTGGTGGGAAGGCCCACAGTATCCTGTCGGTCCAATCGAGTTGAAAGCATCGGAGGCTATCGCTCTCAGATCAGGGATCCAAGAGCATCACCCCAAAGTCAAACAGATCCATCTGGAACGACCAGTACAACTGGGAGATACTCCCGAATATCTCCCTATCGAGCATCCACTCATGTGGGCCTCTATACAATGAGATAGCGCATCTGCTTGAACGTTGTCTATCACTGGGAGATAAACAGGCATACTGATCGCACCAATGTAGAAACTGCCAAGTCTCCTGAAGGAGTGACAGGGACACTGTGCCTCCTTGATTCAGGATATAGGTCATTGTTATCTGGTTGTCCATCTATGGACGAACCACTTGGCTCCGAACCTGGCTCTTATCCCCGGGAAAGGTTCATCAAAACTCTTGGCTGTATGTACAGATCCTCTACCTCCTGTGAACAGGGTGTAATTGTTAAAGAGGCCGTGAGATGTCTCAGACAATATCTTCCTCTACAGACAGTAAAGCAACAGATGAGTTGGACAAGGTAGTACAGGTGATGTTAAAGCTGACATGATTCATTTAGGCTTCTTGCTGATGAAGTGTCCTCCACTAATATAGGTGTAGTTCCAAAATAATCATGCATAATTATGTTTTCAAGGTTTTAGCATTTCTGTCAAAATACACCATTTTGACATTCAATGCAACCCATCACACGTAAGAAAAATTCCCAAACCCCAAGAGGTCTCTCCTATACCCAAGAGGTATACATGTGAAATCTCAACACGAAAATGAAACAGCTTCTGGTGGACAAACCACAACATATTACTTTTAAACACAGCTTCATCTGTTCAATTCCATCCAATGCATGGAGTGTTTGGGCATCTGCTCAATCATGTAATTTTCTGAATAAAATTGATATTTTATACTTATCCTCACTCATGCTCTTTTGCTTGTCTCCTTCCTCTTGCTTTACTCTCTCCGAATTATGAGCCCGACACTTTAATTTACAGGGAAATCCAAAGTGTCTAGTGGGGAGGTTGGGAGGGTTTACCTCATGAGTCAGGATAAGTATAAAATATCAATTTTATTCAGAAAATTACATATTTTTCCTTATCCTGACTCATGCTCTTTTGCTTGTAGAATCCGACGGAGTTGGTGGTGGGTAAAGCTACTTCTGGATTTCATGTAGTGATTTACGTCTTGCATACCCCCCTATGGGAACTTCTGTTACTGCTAGGCTCTGCTGCTGCTGTAACCCTTCACTTCCAGCTTTCTCTGATGGGGGGGACCACAGTAGTTAACTTTTGGTCCTTGCTTCTGTTAACATTTCATGTGGATTTTGCAACTCCATCTCTTGATGCGAGCATCAAGTGGAGAAGCGACCCTTTCCTGTACGAGTATGTCTTTACAAGTACTGGGTCATATCACTTATGCTAGTCTGTCCTAGACTTGCATATAGACTCTAAAGCTGCACCATCTTGAGTGTAGGCTTTTGCAAGTCATGTGATAAAAGGGCGAGACTCTGTCTCAGCGCCTTTGTGGGACTGTCAATTGTTGTGCTACAACAAGTGGGCCGAAATGGTGAATGCCAGAGCCGTCCTCGGTGGCGATGTCCCTCAGGTAGTGGTAGGCAAACACCATGTCCCATTTCCAGAAGCAGCCCTCCATTATCGTCCTGATACAGCTATTCCCATGTAGAGCGAGTGTTGACGCCAGAGCTTTAACTTCGTGTGGGTTGGAGGCTCTTGGAGGATCAAGTCCTGCTGCTTTGTAGGCCCATAGTATGACAGTTCTGATCCAGCTTGATATCTTAGTGCAGAAGACCTCCGTCTGTGTCGCTGTCGATATCGAGACAAAAAGACACTTGAATTTCGGTCTCCTGGACCTGGATCTTTGTAGGTAGACTTTCAATGCTCTCACTGGGCATAAGGATAGGTCCTGCGTTATCCTGTGGTCCAAGGACTGATGATAGTGTTGGGACGTGGAACTGTCTGGCTGGATGACCTGGCAGTTGATTCTTTGCTATGAATTCCCATCTCAGTCCCATATGCACGATGTTTTGATTTTCATCAAATCGTGTTCTCTCGAAGTCCAGAGCATGTATTTCCGACATCCTTGCTGCTGTTGCTAAGGTTATCAGGAACAGCGTCTTCTGCGTCAAGGACTCGAATGATGTTCTCTATAATGGATCGTAGATGTCACTAGTGAGATGTCGTAGAACTACGTTGAGGTCCCACACCGGAGCTTTAAATCTCTGTTGTTGGTCATCCAATTAAAAGGCGTAGTAAGGCCAGTAACTCTGGTACTTTCGTCAGTTGCACTCGTCCTCATGGCGATAACCGACCTCAATGCCGCTAGGTATGTTGAGAGTGTTGACCCTTTTAACTGCTTCATTTGTCTAGGTGACAAAAGTAGTCTGCCACTTGAGGATGTGTTGCTTTAATGGCTGTGAAGCCGGCCCTCGAAACGTATGTCTCGAAGTGTCGCCACTTGTCGTCGTACAAGTTGCGTGTAGACTTGCGTAAAGCTAGTGTGACTGCTTTCGCTGCCCTGGCAGAATATCCTCCCTTGTTCAAGCATGCCTTGATACAGTCCACACGTGTAGCCGGAACACCTCTGGGTTGCCGTGCGCCTGCTTTGTGTGAGGATGTACTAGTAGATTCGTCCACTCTGGTAGTTGCAGGTGAGTCAGTCCTAGGTCTTGTATGAGAATAGGGAACCATATTCTCGCTGGGCAGTAAGGCGCGCCCCAAGTAGTTGGAGGTCTCTCGTCTGACTGGTTTTCTGCAACACCCTCGGTATTTGAGCTGGTGGTGGAAACGCATAAGTGTTTAGTCCTTGCCAGGAGATGCTTAGCGTGTCCGTTGCCCATGCCCGTGGATCTGGTATTGGTGCGATTAGACGAATGTTATCAGTTGACCCATGTGACGAAGAGGTCTATTAATGGTACTCCCATCTCTTGTATGATCTGCTTGAAGATCTCTGGATGTAGCATCTAGTCTGTTGAGAATGGCTGCGTTGGACAGGACAGTGCATCTGCTATCACATTCTTGGCTCTTGGAATGTGGTATGCTCTGATGGGGACATTCAGGTTGACTGTTATGCTGGCCAGTTGAAAGCAGAGGTCCAGAAGGTTCGCCGACCTTGTTGATCCTTCTGTGGATGTAGAACGCCACTGTGGAGGTGACTGTATGTACCGTCAGATGAGCATTCAACAAAATGCTGGTCCTGTGGAGTATGGCGTTTATCACTGCTTTCATTTCCAGCATGTGGGAGTGCAGATCTTCTCTGCTATGGTCCATATCCCAGCTGACACATCGTTGTCGATGTGTGCTCCCCAATCTTGGAGAGATGCGTCCACATAGAGATGCGTCTTGTACTCCTGCTCTGCTAAATAGGTGTGTCTGCGACCCTCCTATCTCTGAGTCCACCATATTAGATATGGATTTAATATGTCCGGGAGTCCGAAGGGGTCCGGATCGTCCAGTTGTACATTCACGCAGACCTGCAGTGGGCGTAGTTGTAGACTCCCTCTGTGTGTCATGTCTTGTGCTGACATGAGAAGAACCAACAGACTCTGCCACTTTGTAGTAATAACAGAGAAAGTAGTGCTTGAGATACACCTAAAGTCCGGCCAACGTATGTTGCTGCAAGTCGTCTGAAGAATCGTCTTCAATGATGACAGGGAAGGTCTCTAACCTCATGAAGGCAGCCAAATCACGTAGGTCCCGTCTAACTGGACTGTAATTTAGGCCTTCCTCGCTCGCTGACAATGTTGTTGTCACTTGTAACCCATTTCTTGACCTGTGAACTACGTCCGACCTCTGCGCAGGGCGTTGTCTCTCGTGGTCCAATCAAAATAAAGCATTTTGATTTCTTTGGCTTGCCGCACTGTGACGTTACCGGTGTAGCAGGAACAAGGTCCTTGTAGAATCTAGTGCCGCCTTTGATATCTGATCAACTGTCGGTCTTGTCCGTAGCTTTCCGGAGTTACATGAGTGACCACGTGTATCGAGGGTTGAATGGTAAACGCGTGAAATCTTTCGCCCCGTAATACCGATGTAGGTAGACTGTTTTCCTGGCTGCTGTGACTGTTACTTCAGTCCTGAAGATAATACCGTCGCCCTTTATACAGATGATCAGCTGAAATCTTCACGTTGTCAGCTTGTAGACTGCATACATCAATGAAGTGTCGTAATTGTAGAATTAATGCTGAACTTTGTTGTAAATTCTACTCAGGGAATCTTTGACGAGTATGTATTTTCCTAGCCGTAGCAAGGCTGCTGTTGAACCACACCAGTGAGAATATCTGTAGTGAAGTGAAGATCTCTATAAGGCCATGAGTCTTCTAAAATAATATATCAATCTATGTGAATCCCGTCCTGGATTCAGTCTGAAGATCCGTGCCGGTGATGAATTCGGACAAGAGTACCCCTCTTGAACTTTATGACATGCCCTTCAGTCTGTGTGCCAACGAAGATCTTTCCCTTTTAGGGTGATGCTAGGTCCAGTCGCGCTGGTTGAATAACCTTGAAGATCTGCGTAGCGATCTGCATGGTGGTCGGCGTGGTGTGACTGTATGGCGCCTTGCGTGTAGGTAATCGTCTCTTGTCCGGGATTGCCTTCCTGGCAATATATTCCGAAATGGTGATTCCCATGATGATCTGCGAGGCGTCGTTGATGCCCTTGATGTAGGTAGTCGGCCTGAAGATCCTTTATTAGGCTCATCATCTGTTGACAGTCTCTGAAGATAGCGCCGTTCTTCGCGGAAGTTGTAGACGACATGTAGCGTTCTGTTAAGAAGCTAAGTACTGCGACGTCTCTGCCTTGTAGATGGCCTGTGCGAATGCCTTCGCGCAGGCTCGGTGATGGCATGTAGCGTTCAGTTGAGAGACTAAGTACTGCGATGTCTCTGCTTCGCTGGGGATCTGCATGGAGACCTGCGTGACGACCTGTGTGAAGACTTTCGTGGAGACCTGCGCGGAGACCTGCGTGGAGATGTGCGTGGAGATCTGCGTGAAGATCGGCGTGGCGAGTGGCCCGGCGAACTGTGTCTGTAGGGTGACCTGCGCAGAGATGAGCGATTGTGGGTTCGCGAATCTCTCGATGATCTGCATGATGCGGAAGATGTCTTGGATACTGTATCTGAAGTCCTTCGCGAATGCTTTCGCGAATGCTCATCATCTGATTCCGCATCTGGGGAATGGCGACTGGTCCTTTGCGAACTCCTTCGCGAACGCTGGTCGTCCGATTCTGTATCCGGAGAAGGGCGATTCCTCCTTCGCGAACGCCTTAGCGAATGCTGATTGTCTGAATCCGTAGCCGGTGATGACCGAGTCGTCCTTCGCGAATGCCTTCGCGGATGCTGATCGTCTGAGTCCGCCGCAGGGGATGGTTGAGTCGACCTTCGCGCATGCTGGTCCTGCAGTGTAGATCTGCTGCCAGATGTCACGTTGATGGAGGGTCCTCAGAGACGAAGTCTGCGTTGGAGCCTTCGCGAACGTTCGGGACCTCTTTGTGGGCTGTGACTTCTTCTCCAGGCCGTAACGCTGCTCCATCATCTCCTGCGGGTTGAAGGTCTGCAGTGGTAGTAGCGCTGCCCTTTCTGCGGTGATAGCGACGTGGCCCACTGGACGCTCATCTGTTGTCAGCGTAGATACCTCGGGTACCGTGGAGATCTGCGCTGAAGTCACCGTAGCTGAGACTGGTCTTTTCTTGGGATGAACCTCTGGGATGATGATCGGTTGATCATTGTTGAGTCCCTGTTCCGTCAACGGGACAATCTCGGCAGAGAAAGTCCTTGTAGTCTGCGCAGACGTCCCCGTAGAGTTGTGGGATGATCAGCAGCGGCTCATCATGAAGTCATCTCACTGCCATCGGGACGATGTCTGTGAGGCTTCATTCTGCGTAGAGGATGGCTTCTTCTTCTACGTCTGCGTTGTGGGGTTGTCCGATGTAGAAGCCAACGTCTTCGAAGTAATGGCAGACAACATCCCACGCCCATCCTCCGAGGACACCTCCGGCAGGTCACTTGATTGTAGTAAGTCGTCTAACAGCAGTAGACAGCTCGTGAGGGACTCAGCCAGTTTATCCATGACTTGGAAAGTCACCTGGATTTGTTGGTAGTACGTCTAAGTACAGAGAAATAATATTTATTAAATTGAATTTCTATTAAATGCTGATAAAGATTACAGCTATAGCTGGAAGTACATGTTGTTGTGCAGCTAGGGCACAGTCAATGCGGGTTTGCAGCAGCGAACCTAAATCTACAACGAAAATAGGTTTTCATGAAATGTAAACAACTGAACAAACACGGACAAATCCGTGAATAAACAGTGCTAAATACGATTAAATATCAAACCATATTGTTGAAGAATACTAACTAAACCTCTATAAAAGTAGAATAGAGGAGAATAACTAAGTAATTAAAGGATATATCGCCGTATAGGAGACACAGGCGCTCTATCAACCTGCCCACAGGGCGAAGAAGGAGAGAGTGCAGCATGGGAGTATGGTGGCGCCGCTTTCCCGCCAAAACGGCCACACAGATAACTCGTGGTGAGTAGGGATTTTACGTCTGTTCTTTATTGAAGGGAGCTTCAATAGGAGATACAAGTGTTCCACTAACGTTCGCAAGAGGAAGGAGACAAGCAAAAGAGCATGAGTCAGGATAAGGACAAAATAAACATTATCTGACACGTAACTGCTACCTGAAATTCTTTCACAATGAAACTTACAGTCTTATAACAAGTAGGTTTCTTAAAGGTCACATGCAACCAAAAAACATAACTAAAACACAATTATCACTTATTCATGACATATAATATACATTGCTGATTATGAAAAAAACATATAAAGAAAATTATAAGCGTACAATTACAAATCAAATGCGTAATATTTTGTACTTGGCTTTACTTCCCTCGAAACGAAGCACCCAGGATACCGAACCCAGTCAGAGCGGGTGGGCGTGCACTCAAGTGTAACGGCTGGTTCATTTGCAGATGCCATCATGGTTCATTGTGTGTGTATATATAAAGATGTTGGGTTTTGTAAATACATGCTCATTTTTTGTGTATAACATTTGGCAATCAACAGACATCATAACATGTCATGTGTACAAGTATCACACCCGCCTGTCTGTGTAATTACATAATGTGACAGAGACCGAACTGGGGCCATAAATCAATGCGTTTTGTTTATGGTGTATAGACTGATAGGTGTTAAGTTCAAATTGCATGTGGTCAATGATCGAAGTTGTGTATTGAATATTGTCATTAGCAGACAGGCAGGCAGACACATAGGTGTCAATAAAACAGACATTGAGTTTTATCTGTGACAATGACATATCTATATCACAGTTAGAAATTCTGTCAACGCTAAATAATGACATTGCTTTGAAGTATCGGAAAGTGACTCGGTAAGAAGAACGTGTGGTGAAATAGATAAATGAAATTATATAAACAGTTAAATCGGTAATCTACTGTCATAACATATAAAAAGCTCGCGCCTGAGAAATATCAACAAAACATAAGAAAAATAGTTCACATCAAAGCCTCCCGACTCCGAGTACTCACCGCTAGGAAAGGTTTTCCGTCTTGAAATGTCGAACGCCTCACTGGTTGACACATAGCTGAGTAGATCTAGATCCTTACAAGGTTCTTTTATGTAACGAGTAGATTATTTACTATCTATTTGTGTACACAACCAGGATTAGACTACTCCTGCTCACGACCTTATAATCCAGGCATGCATCCTGTTTCAAGCTCCGCGAGGAGCACAGCGCATCATAGCTGTTGAAACCACTTTTTCCCCCAAGCGCTTGGGGAAAATTAGGGAATCGTTTGAACTCCGATTTCGCGTGTGTTTTTTCATCGCATTAATTTTCAACTTTATAAGTTGAATTTGCATTTTGATGATTTGTTTCGGTAAGTCCATATCGAAAGGTATCAGAATCTGCAAAGTTGTGTTTTACGTTGCATGTGATCTTATGAAATGTCAGCTTCTGCACTAACCAGTATTCTTCTGAGCAGTCCCATTGCAGTAGGATGTCCTGTGACCCACAAGCCCACCAGATGACGACTCAGCTGCCTGCAACATGAAAGCATAAGGGACAAATAACAGATTAACAGTCTTACAGTCACTAGCTACATCACGGAGGCCATGGAAACCAGGCGTTGATAACAAAGGTAAATTGTTGGTTTAAACGATGCACAGTCAGTCTTTTCTGTCAGTATTGTATTTTGAATGAACCATCTAATGTAAAACTTCAGCATGTTAATGCCAGACTATATTCAGCATGCGTAACAATTGCAGTATTTAGGAACCATAACATTGAGGGTCTTCTGTGATCAGATATGTGGATACAGACACATCTCCTTCTGAGACTATTCCGACCTGTGAACAGAGTCATCCACAGCAACAGTATGCACACACACAACAGGACAACATTCACACTGTATGATTTGTAATTTCATATTCTGCCTGTTGTAAGTCAGATGGATGGACAGATTTCATATTGGGGTATAACAAGCCATAAAATCATAACAACATGATGTCAACTGACTTTTATGCCTTAGGACAAATACAGTCAGCAATCAAACATGGTCCATGTTTAGATATTCCCTGCATTATGCTTAATGTTAATTTAAATCCCTAAATATTTCTCAAAATTGCTGCAGAATTTGGTTTACTGAAATTTTGTTGTCAAGGCATGCACATTCAGTTTTCCTAGAAATTATTGAGAAAATCTTTGTTTCCTAATACTGATAAAAGTATTTTTAGATATGTTATCTTTGACTCGAACTGGTTCCTCAGCTTGGTGATCTGGTCTTCCATGTGCTGGGCAGCCTGACTCGAGTCCTCGTTTGTAGCATGTATTATTGAGAATTTCAGGAATATGTTTAATTGGATTTCTAGTATTTATATAAACAACCTTGACCAGCTATCAAGTGCTTGGCTTCATTCAAGAGAGACAACTCCGTTAATCCTTTTTTCATTAGTTTGTGAAGAGTTATCCCCCTTTGTTTACTTGCTAGCAGACAGCATTTCAGTGATCCTCAGTATGGATGAGTTAGAGAAGAGGAAGTTGATTTTAGAGTATTATAACAAGGACATCAGATCAGCTAAAGTGATTTCAAGTAGAACAGGCATCCCTTTGTCCACTGTTTATCGTGTTTTGAAAAATATTGCAAATGGATATGGCATTGAGCACCAGTGAGGCGCAGGTAGGCCCAGAAAATTGACTGTCGGTGACAGGAGGCGGCTTGGTATTCTTGTTTCTAAAAAACCAACGAAGGAGTATAGAAAACTTAAGGCTGGATATGATTGATAGAGGAACGGTGGCGGTCTGTAAGGAGACAAATAGAACTGAGCTGCATGCAATGGGTTGGCAGAAAATTCGAGGAATTCTATCACCGATCATGAAAACTGAACAAAAAGGAGCTAAGGTTGAACTGGTGCTTACAGCATAGAAATTTTAACTGGGACAATGTGATTTTCTCAGATGAAAGTTCTGTGTGGCTGTTTCCTAATACACTGAAAATCTGGACCAAACAAACTGAAAAACCTTTGCATCAGCGCCCACAGTACAGTCCAAATTTAACGTGTGGGGTGGCATATCTGTGTTAGGGACAACGCCCCTCTGTGTATTTGAAGGGAATATGAACAGTGAGCGGTACACAGATATTCTCGAGGGACATTTACTTCCATCTGCTCATGTGGTCTATGGAAATGTTTGGATTTTCCAGCAGGACAACGACCCAAAACATCATTCAAAGCATTCACAGGCCTGGTTTCGGACCCAAAATATGACATTATTAGATTGGCCAAGCTATAGCCCTGACCTAAATCCAATAGAAAATGTTTGGGGACTTATAAAAGAGTCAATAAGAAACATCTTACAAATATTGCTGAAATGAAAGAAGAGGTGGTCCGATATTGGGACAGCATGGACCACGACTTTCTAACTTCTTTGATCAGTAGTATGCCCCGCCGCATTGAAGCCTGCATTGCTGCCCATGGTGACTTGACAAAATACTAACTGTTCACCTGTCTTTGAATCTGGAGTTATGTTCTGCTAATATTCACATTTAATACGTGAGTAATGAGTGAAAAAAAATTAAACAATTACACTCTTTAAATTCTCAATAATTTCTGGTTGTACTGTAGGTGTTACATTATGTAGTAAGGTACTCAATATGGAAGGCAACTCTTGTAGGCTTAAAGAACAAATAAACTTTGTTTTTTTGTACTCTTATAACTATTACATATGAAAGATTTGTGGTTAGACTTATGCGGAACACCAAATTCATTCTTAAAATACTTGTGGTTAATTAATACCGAGCGATTAATAGATGTCAAAAAGTCGCCTGCTTCACTCTCGCCCGCCAACGAAACCACAGACAGGTTACGTAACTCTGTCGCCAGAGCACTGCAGTGACGTCATATGAGGAACGATTTTCAGTTAGTTGTATAGAAAGTGTGTAGCACGCTCATCATTTTGATGATTTCTCGACATCAACGACGACATGCCGAATCGTTGCTTTGTCGTCAATTGCTCCTAGGGGTCGGGCGATGGTGTCACCATGCACAGATTTCCACGGGACCCGCAGTTCGTGCTAAATGGGTCATGTTTGTGAGTGCGAAGCGAGCGTTGTGGAAGCCTGAAACGATATCTCACTTGTGTTCAGATCGCTTCACGGAAGTTAAAGAATCAAAACTACTTACTAGTTGTAGTAAAATATGTATATGATTGATGACCATAAAGATTTTCCATGACACAACTTGTAACATAACAATTTCTTCCTCGGAAGCGAGGTTGTGGTCGAAGTAACAATAAAATTGTAAGTAGTATTATATTGACACCCACCTCGCTGCCACGAGAAAAATTGTTATGTTATAAGCTATGTCATGCAAAATCCTATTGGCCATCAATCAAATACCTATTTTACTACCAGTAGAAAGTAGTTTTGAGTTTGTAACTCGGTGAAAACAAACCTAAATAGCATTTATCCTCAGACTGGCGGATGTTCGCGACAGGGCGCCGCCATTTTTGAAAATCGTAAAGTTAAGGGCTAAAGTCTGTTAGAATTAATGGGATTATGGTTTGTTTTCATCAAGTTAGAAAATCAAAACTACTTTGTACTCGTAGTTAAATATGTATTGGAATCATAACCCAAAGGATTTTGCATGACACAACTTATAACATAACGATTTCTTCCACGGAAGCGAGGTGGGGGTCGAAGTCACAATACTGCGCGATAAATTTCTTGCTACATTCACATGGTTAATGTCCACTCACCAGTATGTAGATACTAGTCAATGTGCGTCTTTATATTTGGTCTTATAATCCTAATTAGTTTATTATCATACTTGTATGCTTTTGAAACTAAATAAAAAGCAGACGATCTGCTGATACTTATAGTGAATTTATAACAGAACTGTAATATCTAGACATTTTATAGTTTTCCAATGTGAATCATAATTCGCACACACACCCTAGTGTATGTTGTCTGTCTCATTACACTTCATGGCGAAAACAATGATTCTGTTGAATGCTACGACAAATAAATAAAAACAAAATGCAAATATTAAAATTAAAACAGATTCAAGTTATAGGAACAATGTCAGGCTATTACCTTGTTCGAGGAATGTATCCATCAATATCCACAAAAACGAGTGATATGCCATTCATCTGCAGCTGTTCCAAGTGATGTGTCTTTTAACAGTTTAATATACGAAAAAGTGATAAATCTTTTCAGGTATTTCACATTGGTGTATAGTCTCATTGGTCAACCAAGATAGCACACCTGGCAACTAATTGCATAATGTCCGCCTTTCTTTAAAAACAGTAATTTAGTTAGCCAATAATGGGCAATCAATCAATGTATTGCCGGTTAATCCTTTGAAAGAAGGACGTTGTTTTTACATGAGACACCGATTACGACACAGAGTGTATTCAGTATAGATTAGTAAATCTACATACATAAACACTACCTTTTGACAAATCCGCTGTGTAAGATAAAAGTAATTAATCAATCAGCATGTTATCGGTTAATCCTTTGATCGATGTTTATAATGTTGAATATTTACTCCAGACACAAGAAATGCCAAATGGGAACCTTTGTCGGGTAATCTAAGGGTGTTACCACTAATTATACCTGTTATAAATTCATTAACTGACCATCAAGTGAATGATGACAAATAACATGTGTAGGTTTATACCACCTAACATGGGTTACAACAAGGGAGTATTAATTGCTGTATTGCATGTGAAAACTTATGGGCCGACACTGTTTTGAGAATACAAACAGATTTTTACTAGACATGATTAAATATCGAGGTAACAAAAACACAGAAATGGGATCAATTTGGTTCAGTCATTATACAAATAAGGCCTAACGACACCAAGCGATTTTGACAGAATCGTCTATGAAAACAAGTTGTAACTCAGAAACTAGGCAAAGCAGGAGACAAAATTAAATGACAGTAGATTGTGAGAACATATAGCTTTCATTTTCCACAACAGTTGTCACGATTTCAGGTTTATACAAACCTGTAAACAAGATAATTTACCCCCTGAAATGTAGATGAATTCTGCATCGGCCCTCATATCTATTCCTCATATGACATCACAGAGACGCCCCCCTCTGATTGGTTGAAATTTCGTTCGCGGGTGAGAATTGTGCACTGTTGTGAAAAAGGTCGATTTAAGTTAATTAAAGATCGAAGTGAGTAGTTTTAATGACGGGGTTTCATTTATAGCGATGCCAGTTAGTGATTTATGTATTTGTACCCCCCTAGAGTATATGTGATCTTTAAGAATGAAATTTACTACATCAAGAGCCATCTCCCCTTGGTGTAGCAGACAGCTTCCTTTGTTGACTTGGCAGTTTTGACAGCAGGGAAAGTGGAAATTTTCTATGCGTATCTTACCTGGATACGCAGCTTATCTGGGCCTCTGCTCATTTGTGCCAAATATTATTTACATTTGTTTCGGTCAAAGGTTTTTATTAAAGCTTAATCAAGCATAGTGATTTTGTTGTGTTTTTGCTTTATAAATCAAGGATTAACTCGATTATATAGTTTTTTGTTAAAAAAAAATTCTTTCAATATATTGCAATACATATCTCAATATATGCTTTCGCATCACAATATATCTCAATATGAAAATTCTCTGCAATACCCACCCCTAATGATAACAACCCAAAACCAACTGCAGGCTGACACAAAAAAGGGGTTGTCGGACGAAAATGTTCAAGTTTTAGACTGGCCCAGCTACAGCCCAGGGTCTCCTTTTAGTAGTGTACCTAGGCACATTCAGTCATGCATTGCAGGGCAAGGAGGTCTCACAACGTACTGAAAGACACTTAGACTGTAAGAAACTCATATCTCAACATATTCATTTAAGTAAAACTTCTATAGTTAATATACATGTATTGGATGTTTTCCAAAACAACTTTCTCAATAATATCTGGGAATACTATATGTAGATACATTTCAGTCTGTATATCATTAGTGGTAAGCATGCCTGTTAGCTTTTCGAAAACTAACCTGTTGGTCAGCATTCTGTTGTCTGCACTTTGTGTGAACATGGCAGAGTGAAGGTGTTTTGGCAAGGCCCCCTCAGCCAAAGCAAGATCCTGCATCTTGGCAGCTATTTCAGCATCTCCTTCCTAAAGAAACAAAGATCCTATTACTTTGTATTATTATTATAGTTGACTTCTACCTCTAATGTGCAAATTTGAAGAAGTCTGAGGGATGTAATCTATGCTGTCATAAAACTGTGCATTATATTTAAATTAACTGCAGTGCCCTGATGCCACGTGGACTGTATTTTGTATTGATCACGCATCTGTCTTATTGTACAAGTTATGTTGTGTTACGATATGGACTTAACCACATATATCTACACATGCGCTCTGGGCCCAAGGTTTTGTGTACTGAATAATGAATCTTAAATCTTGCAAAACAGTATGCTATAATGCACCCCTTTTAAGTATCCTTGTGTTCATAGTTTATGCTCATCGTATGAACAATGTACATCTCACTTACTTGTAAAAGACAACTTTAACTATAAAATCCATAAGTAAAATGCATCTATGCAGCTATAAATTTTGTTATATTGCAAGGAATTGTGATAAACACTATTGTCCAAAAACATATAACCTCTGAAAAGATAATCGGATCATTCTTTACACAGATAGTTTTGTAATGAGATGTAGATACTATAACCACCAAAGTTACAGAGAGTGAAAACTCAAATACTTTACATGAAATATATGACCTCCAATGTAAGCATATACTGATGGAATGTAACACAATTACTGAGTTATTGCACTCATTTAATTCAATATTCACTAAACTTTCCTTGTTAGTGAAGCACACCACACACTTTCTGGATCTCAGCATCTACATAGAGTAACATGGCTGCAAAATGTAGTTTACAAGACAGCATAAGGTGTCATACCAATGTAATTGAAGTACTTGGCCTCATTTGAGTTAATTATTTCAAATCAATACAAACATGTCCTGGCATGTTTATCTACACAGGTATATACAAAAGATTTTTAAAAAAACTATGCAAAGACCACACAAGCAATAAAATGAAAGAAACATTATAGCAGTGTTACAAAACCCTTTCAGAAAACAAGAGTGAGTGAGTGAGTGAGTTTAGTTTTAAACCGCTTTTGACCAGAAATGGGCTTCACACACTGCACCCATGTGGGGAATCGAACCCGGGTCTTCGGCGTGACGAGCAAACGCTTTAACCACTAGGCTACCCCACTGCCCCTCAGAAAACAAGAAACAATGACACAAGATATATATTTTTTGCAAGGACACTTGTTGAAAAATACCCTAAACATTTAGTTTAATCATGAAGATGGACCAAGAAGAGCTCCTGTAACTCACTTACCTCAATGATTGCTTTCATGACCATTCCTGCTCCCTTGACAATTGCCATGGATGGATGCTGAAAGAGAAGATAACTGTTATTACTTCCTGAGTAACATGGGAATCAAATGGCCAGGTTCTGTGGCTGATCGGACCCTGATGGCCTGGACCATTGATCATGCTTTCTTGGGGTTTTACGTGGACTTTGCAAAATGGAAACATGGTGACTCACAGTAAATGTTTTTGTGAGTCATGAAATCATTTTGTCAATAATATACTTCAATTATATATAGTAAAGGATCTGTTTGTTTAAAAGGCCGGGGTTGAGAAATATGCACACATGGGGCCATGTTGCCTTGTCAAAGCTGTCTTTCCAACAAAGCAAAGCTGTATTCAAGTACATTCCATGAAATATGACAAAATTGACTTACCCGTTCATGATGATTTCAAGCCATAGTAAAAAGAAGTATCATATGAAGACTAATGGCAAAAAGTACAGATGCAGACAGTCTACAAAACATACATTTTGAAAATATATTTCTCTTTTTCAAGTCCAGATTTGAATTTCCTACTGTATCAGTCAGGTGGTCAGAGGAGGTGAGTTCCATAGAAACAAGTCTGCTCGAAGGGCAAAAGTTTCATATTCAGGCAGGCTGTGAAAATGCCACCCCTCTTCACTCCTCTGATATCATGCTTTGGTGGAGTAGGGTTCTACACTTGTTTCATGCTGATGAAAATACGTAAAATTTACGTAAAATACGTAAAATTTAAATTTGATACATGCTTATCAAATTAATCTCTTTTGACATCAAAATATGTAGTGAAAGGGTTGTTGGCCATTTATTATAAGGCACATGTTTACTGGTAGACATAAATTCCAAGGTTAACCGTTGACATCCCCAGGCTCTTGCAATTGCTAGGCACCCATGGTAACCTCCCATTACCCCTACATGCCACTACCCCTACAGCTTATAACAACATAGTTTATGGTCTGTTGCATAACTAATCTCCTGCCTGTTACCTATTCCATACAGTGGACTGGTCCACTTAAGATGCACAACATGACACAAGACAGATTTTAAAAGTGACTTTAATACATGTGTTATCACAAAGTACCACATCATTGAGATCAATTGTCAAGTTTTTCAGTCTATTTACATTCAGTGTTTTAATCATCTCATCTCATATCACATCAGGATAAGAGAAAAACCAAATTATTACATTATCAAAAGTGTGACCTTAATACATCACACATTGAGATCAATAATTGTCAAGTTTTTCAGTCTATTTACATTCAGTGTTTTCATATCATCATATAAGGATGAACAAAAGATCACATTATCACAAGTGTTTCATATCAACATATCAGGATGAGAGAAAGACCACATTATTACATTATCACAAGTGTTCAAGTGTCAGTGTTACAGTCTATCCAAGCTTGAGCAGGTAGCCGACGCAAGCGCCAAGAAACTGAAGAGGGATTTCTGTCCACGCTGAAGCTGTTCCTTGAGTCTGCACAGACGGTTGTCGATCTCTGTACACTCGCGTTTTCTGTTTGTTGGCGCAGCACCAAAGTCAATCTGAGCAATCCTCACTCTCTCTCGGGCGTGTTCGACTCTCCTGATGACTTCTACAAATCTGTAGATGTTCGGGTGCCTGTGTGGAATTTCTCGATTCAAACTGTTGTGGAATCCTTCCAGGTTGTTGTTTGTCCTCGCCCAGCTGTCAAGTTGTGGTTCCACAGGTGAAGAAAAATCTGGCAGTGTCGCCGACCCATGTTGTCCGCGATGTAGTCGTTGAAGTCGCCAGCTCTTGGGACGTCAGGAGTGTCATCCATGGCTTCAATCCAAGTGTCTTGGACCGCGGCTTGAGGAAGTAGAGGTAGTCCAGCTGCTCTCCTGATCCACTTGTGACTTCGGGGGTTTTCCTTGTAGGCAACAGCTAGTCCAAGATCCTGAACCTTCCTCCAGATGGCTTGACAGAAATGGAAGAAACAGCCCTTCACGCCAGCAGTGGGAAATTCTGTTTCTATGGCGTGGATTGCTGCTAGCTCAAAATCGGTCTGGATGCAGGCAGGATCAAGCGGTCTGTTGAGTCTCTGCTGAACTTCATCCTTGAGCAATCGGAAGAGTCTGGAGTAGGTTGTTGTCTGGCGGTCGGAAGAAGGGCGAAGATGAGGGATATGTTGAGCTGCCACGTCTTGCATGGATGATGTATACTTGATTCCACAGTGCAGGACAGGCTGTGAAAGTTCCATCCATGTAGAGGTTGTCAGCTGACTGCAAGGCTTCAAGACTCTCTTGTGTTCGAAGGCCAAGATCTTGTCGTCATGGCGATCATAAAACAGGAGGAATGGTCTATCATCTGCTGTCTGCGTCCAGGGATCTTGGAGGTCGAACTTCTGATCTCGTCTGTGGTAAGACAGGAATCGTCTTCTGGCGGTGGCGGTACAGGGCACTGCTAACAGATGGAAAGGAGGGCATGGTGCGTGTCTCGTCATCAGTCAGGTTGGTAAGCTCGTTGTTGTAGATGGTGCGCATCGGTATTGACTCCTCCCTGGCTCTCTTCCTCAGGTTGCTGACAAACCGGACCTTCTGGCTATCCTCTGGTGGGTGATTGTGTTCAGTCATTATTTCTTACCACATCGCCAACAGTTGTGACTCTTCCTTTGCATGTTGACTGCACACACTTCCAGTGTACACAGGTCTGTCGCTCAACATTCTTAGTGTGAAGATATCCATCCAACAGAACTTGACGGCTACCTCTCCGTGACATAACAAACTCAACATTGCGAAGACCAGCCATGTTGATGCCATGTTTGTTTCATGTCAGCACTTATATACTGTATGGAACAATCTCAATTTCCTGTATCATCTCCACGTTTTATTTCTCTCAACTTCTCAACATTGTAATATATGTAACATTAAAGTGCACTATAACAACTTTTCTTAACAACATTTAGCAATCACAACACTTTTCCAATTGTATGTTTCTTCTACTCAGGGTTGAGGTTTGTTTTCATCATGAGACCACTAATTTCCTTGCCACAAAAGACTAATCACATTTATGCATCCCTTGATCTCATCTATGCTCCATGCACTAATCCCTCTTTAGGATTAGTCTATTATATCAGACAGGTAAATGCTAGGTGTTGTTTTAACTAGCTGTAGGGGTACTGGAGTGTAGGGGTAGTGGCATGTAGGGGTTATGGGTCACCCATGGGTAGATAACATCTGCACTGCTGAGGAGTAGCCAATCGTAGACTAATTGGAACCCGATGGGATTTTTTTAAAGTTAGCACTCCGGCCTTTAAGCTGACATATTTTAGTGAGTGAGTGAGTTTAGTTTTACACCACAGATTTAGCAGGTACATAGCCTTTTGTAGATGATTTAGTTTCAGTACATATTTCTTCATCTTCAGACTTGATGGGTTCATGTCTGCTTAAAAAAACCTTTGTTTTGTTAAAAAGAATCCTTCAAGTGATTGTTGCTTCTCAGCAAGACTGACCGTACTGTCTAAGCAAGGGACAAAACCAAACACAAGTAGACTCAAATCTAACTAGTTGGTATCTTTATCACATTGCAATCTAGTTTTAGCCACTTGCAATGTTTTATGAGATATCGTGTTTAAAAAGTAGTCAAAGTGTCCTGGTGACCTTGAAGATAAGGTCAAGGTCACCCAAATAAACTGGTGTCTGCGAAATCCCCCCAATGTAGGCTGTCACCAAATTTGAAGACACTGGGTACAACAGTCCATGAGATATTGCGTTAACAAGAGTTAAATGCGTGCAAAGTGTCGTGGTGACCTTGAAGATAACGTCAAGGTCACCCAAATAAACTGGTGTCTGCGTAATCCCCTAATGTAGGCTGTCACCAAATTTGAAGATATTGGATACTAAAGTGCATGAGATGTCACGTTAACAACAGTTTGAAAAGTGGTCAGTGTCGTGGTGACCTTGAAAATAAGGTCAAGGTCACCCAAATCGACTGGTGTCTGTGTAATCAGGAACAATTACATGTATTGTTAGTAATTATTAGTAAACTTACCTCTGGATTATGGTTGCCTTATTCCTGTGGATTCCACAGATACATACAGAATGGAAATGATTTTTTTTTAACTAAGTCATAGCTATCCCTAGTGGTATGCTTAAAAGAGTTATGCAGTTATCTCCCTTGGCTGTGATGTCACAACGTAGTTGTTGAAAACCTCTCATGATTTTTCTGAAGAAAACTAACATCTTCTGCATCTCCTTGTGGGGAGGTTGGGCGGGCACTAGATCCCATAATCCAGAGGTAAGTTTACTAATAATTACTAACAATATATGTAATTGTTCCTATTTATAGGCGTAAACATTCCCTCTGGATTATGGTTGCCAGAATCACACATAAAGAAGGAGGGTTTATGAAGATGATGAATACAGCAATACCACTAATTATCCCGTTATAGTCTATGATATAACAATTAGGATAACTATCACTTAGGTGATGAAATGTAATTTATATGGATTACCTAGATCATTCCCTCGATATTCTAGTATTCAATTACCTAAAGGGAAGGATCATACTCGTGAGGGAGAAATATTTGGTGTTTGGAGAAGACTGTGACGTCACTCCCGGTCCAAGACGTCATATCCGGTTCTGTAATAGTCTATTTGACCGATTCTCATTTTAACCGGTTTCTGTGACGTCACTTCCTGTTTGATGACATCACTTCCGGTTTGATGACGTCACTTCCGGTTTGATGATGTCACTTCCGGGTTGATGACTTCACTTCCGGTTCATGACGTCACTTCCGGTAAGTGATTTCAAGTCTTCTCGTAGATTATTTAACTGGAGTAATAAACTGCAGCAGATATAATAATTCCACTTACTGGTGATAAATATTAGTAGATAAGGTTCTTCAAAGATCCTCATCCTTCCGTTTACTGTTAACCTGTTTCCTCCCGCACAGTCCAAAACAGTGAACCACTGCTGAGTTTGGATATATCTGCACACACACACACACACACCCTCCTTTTTCCCCCTCAAGGGAAAACAGGTGGAGGAGAGGCGCTGTCTGTAGGCTCTCTAAGGATGGAA